AGAAGACCTACCATGCTGCCCTGGACTGGTGCCCCAGCAGGCTCCTGGAGAGGTTCACTCAAAGGGGCCCCTTGAGAGACCCATCAAAACTTCGTTATACAATGCTAAAGAAAGAAGTCCCCTAGCATAGGACCCAGACTCCTCCAACTCCCCCAAGTTTCTCAGAGTCACCTTGGATTAGAGGAGGCAGGTGACTTTGCTAATTGCAAGCTCCAGGGCATCCCCCACCACATATGCTCTGCCCCCTCTAAACTCCTGGCTCTCTGGGTTGTTACGTTGCTGCCTATACATCGCCTCCTGGCACCATCCTCCCTGTATCACCAGGACGCTGGCAAAGCATCCTTAGTCTGCAACCCTCTTACTTAGCTTCTCTCCTCTTCTAGCTGGAATTCTCCTCCCTTTGTCCTCCCAGAAACAATATCAAGCAAAGCATGGATCCCCAGAACACAGCACAAAAGTGTGTGATGAAAGTGTGATCCCTTTCATCTCCATCTTATTCCTCCTGGTCTCAGAAATGGGACAACTCTGAGAGAATTCCCGCTGTTATCTTCCTTCAGGGACTGTGCTGCCTGGGCTCTGTGGGACAGCAGGATCTAGGATGCAGTCCTGGGAAAGGGCTATACCCCTTTCCTCCATCACCTGAGTGTGAGGCTTAGAGCCTGCCCTCTCCTACTCCCTGCCTCACCTTTGTTCCTATTAAGAGATTAGTTGTGTCCTCTAAAAAACGATGTTGAAATCCCACCACGCTGGACCTGTGATTAAGACCTTCACAGGAAATAGGTCCCTATAGAAGACAAGGAAGGGATCCAAGCTCAAGTTCTTCTCTGGAGTCCTCAGGACATGTTCTGCTTGGGTGTGAGGGGGAGGAAAGGGAGTTTAGTGTTTTGTGTGTATAAACTTCAGGCCACAAACTTAGATGGTCAAGACCAGATAAATATTTTTGTTTTTTTTTTTCTATCAGTGAACTTGTGAACCCATCTTTTCCTCAGTGGTGGGACCAACCTCTATTCACTTCTTCTCCCAGGGCAGGGTCACACGGGGCTCAGGCCCTGGGATGCAGCTCCAGGATGCCCTCACCATTGTCATCTATATATGTCAAAATCTTCTGGAAAGGTCCTGCTCGAGTATGGCCTCCAGACACTTCTCTGCAGAGGTCCTGCAACATCGACCTCCTCAAACACAAGGTCTTCTCAGCTCACAGGGTTTCTGTGACATGCCCCTGCCACTCTTCTTGGGGGACGCAGAGAACTTTGTGATCCACTAGGATCAAAGGCCTCTTTGCTTTCCCTTCAATCATTCCTCTCCTGGCCTATGGGATTTTAAATCTATATTGAACTTTCTTTTTTTTTTTTTAATTCTCAAAAAGAATTAAAAGATTGTGGCAGCTCTATATCCCCTTAGCCTTGCTCTGAGTCACCTGCAGCTGCAGGTGGACTGTTAACCT